CCCCTCCTTCCAACGGCATAGGTAGCTGCGCCAAAATTGAAGAAAACTCTCTTCCGCATTCTGCTCCCAGGGGCTTTACTCCCCCTCGCCCCGTCGCTGCCACACCAGTAGATTTACTTCCCTCCCCCCCTCCCCCTCCCTTCTCCAGGAAGCCATCCTGGATCCGCCCATGTACCCCATGGATCAATCCACTTACCAATATCTGAAAAATCGGCGACCATGAAATATCCTGAATCCGGGATGATTGGTTTCATTCCGGCACTACGCAAAATTGATGCCATGCGATCTCTTTTTTGAACCAAATCGGATGTGAGACCATTCAACAAATAGCTCTTTGCCACATTCGAATCCATAATATCAAGCTCTTTTTCGAAGGCCTGAGCCACTGCTTCCTGAAATTAATTTTTGCCGTTGTGCGACATGAAACCAATGATAATGGTTCTACCAAAATGTTATATCTACTGATGGACATAATGAACGAAAGTTTGTGCTTACTCTCCTAGTTTTCCAAAACATTTAGTTGTTTTTCTAATACTCTTGATGTATTTTTGAGAATTACCAGCTGACATTACACGCTACCATTCCTCCCAATTACTAGATCCAGGTCTTTTCATAACTTTCATTGCAAAAATTTAAAAAAAAAAAAGAAACCTGAGTTGGTGTTGAACAAGTGAATACACAATTTTGATGAATTCTTCGCAGTGGTTCAAGCAAATCGGCCGGTGCAACTGACCAGCCAAGTTTCCAACCAGTAGCGCTGAATGCTTTCCCGGCACTACCAATCGTTATTGTTCGCTCGTACATATCCGGCAAAGTTGCTAAAAATGGTTAAAACAGCAAAGTTGCTAAAAATCGCAAAATTGCTAAAAAAAAATGTAATTCGTAAACCACCAAAAAATGCTAAAATGACCACAAGGGGCTGTAATTCGATGCTTTATTTTTGGCGTATATTTTCCCGAAAATCTCTGATTTCTCGATGTTTTAGAAGGGGCTGGATTATGGGAGCCGAAAAATCAGACCTACCAAATCGAATCATTTTTTTCCCATCATAAACATGCCATTCGTACACCTCATCCGCTACAACCAATAAATTATGGCGACGAACAATGTCTGCCAGGCCTTCCAGCTCTTCTCTAAAAAAAACTATTCAATCGGGGCTGAAAATCCTGTCATAACAAGAGAAATAACAACAGTACAAAGTGAAAACAACGAGTCTGAGGCGTCTAATACATTTCATGTATTTAAGTTCCGAAAAATCATCGTTCACTGATACTTAAATACTCAAAAAAATAATAATCTAGTACTTTAAGTATTCAAGTAATTTCGATGGAATTTTCTGTACTTATTGAGGAAAAGAGGAGGCAAAATACAGTGGGATGAATATATCAAAGATCACAAGAAAAAAAAACCAATTTTTCAAATATAATTAAAAATGGGGAGAACAAACCGTGTAAAGAGTTTTCCAGTGGGATTATGTGGATTGTTCAGTACAATCATTTTTGTTTGCTTATCAATCTTCTCCTCAATAGCCTTCAAATTGAGCGTATAATCGGCACTGCTCGTCGGATTCGGAGGCAAACTCAGTGCCACCGAAATCGGTACTCCGCCAGCCATTCGAATTTGAGGTACATAGCAATCGAATGCCGGATCAAGCACTAAAAAAACTTGTTCGTTTTTTACAGTGGGGAAAAAGATCGATGCAATACTCCTCGATTGTTTGGAATAGCCAAGGAATTAAGGCTGATCAGCTCTGCAAAAAAAAAAGGACAGAAATTTTACAGTCACAATTTTTGTCTAAAGAGTAAGCTGTTGCAAAATGACATGTATAAAAGTCTGGAAAGATTGTCATGAGTTTTTTTTTTCTTTTTTTTTTTGCTATTTAATACTGTTTAC